AACGGTCATTTATTGTACCTTTTTCAATTACTTAATAGTTTCTTCAGTTCCTTGTCCCTTACCCTTACCTCACTCATTCTCTTATAGTATCCTAATTAATTTATAAATCTTTTTGCTCTTTACCTTTGCCTGATTTGGTTCTAATAAAAAAAAAATGTATATTATACCATTTGATTAAGATGGGAGTAAGAATTATGATTCCTCATTCTCAATCATTTTTATTTTTTAATAAAAAATTCTTCTTGTACATGAGAAACTACTAAGATTTAAGCCCATACTTAAACCTCTTGTTAGCAAGAGTTAACTCATAAAATTTATGAAAGTTCACAAAAAAAATATAATAATTTATCTTTAAATTGAATTCTAATAAAGTCTCAACATCATTGGATTATAGACTATAAATATTTAAATACAATTATTCTTAGTTATACATTACATGTAATTTTATTAAGACCATGATTATCTATGTTAGATTCTTCTCATGAGACTGAAATAATATTTACAATTTAGATCATGGTACAAATGTAGTCCTGACAACATTATATAGTAAAGAATTATATTTTATATAAGTTATATTATTATTTTTGTCTTGTTTTTCAGCTACAAATTTCTTATTTTCATAACAGGGGACTTGGCATAAAATATCAGATTATTATTCCATAACACTTAATTTTTTTTTTTTTTTATAATCGCAGTTGTCCCAACTAGCTTGCGCGTGTACACTTAATTAATCTTTGAGGCCCACATAACTTTAGGGATCCATTGAACACTACAGCCTAATATTCATGTAAACCATAAATGTAATTGGTGGTAAATCTAAGAAATCAATGAAGGGAGCAAACATTCTTAATCACCGAGTCAACCTTTAGGGTTAATACTAAATTTCTTTATGGTTAATAATACATTGTTGTATCAATATATCTAACATAAAATTAATAAAATTACAACATGCAAACTTGTAAGTTAAAATTGTATAACTATAAATACACTCTTATTAATTTGTTAATGATCCTATGTATATTAATAGAATTTTCTCCGTGGAAATTTATAGCTTTGATGAATTCAAATCCGATAACAAAAATATAAATATAATATATAGCTCTCCATTGATGGAATTGGGATCCTATGATATTTGAAAATTGTACCATAAATTGATGATAAAGAAGTTAAAGAGAAATAATATACAATTTAAAATAAAAAATGGTTATAATTTCAAAGGATTATTGCAATTTATTGCTTCCCATTATTGGTTCAAAAGTCAAAACTGAGAAAAAAATTTATTGCTTTCATTATTCGGATTCAAAATCCAAAGAGTTTGTCTATAATGATTTAATGAACCATCTAGATATGGCAATTACTTTCTACAAAATATTCAACTCCCATTTTCAAAATAACCAGAAATCATATAAAGGACTCTTGACTTGGGTGGGGATGGCAAGGGGTGGGGGGGTGGGGCGGGGCCGGGATTTTTTAGTATATAAACTTGGGGGGAAAACTTGGGGTGACTATAACTTCCCCCCAAGGTTTGGCCTAACGATATTTTCCACCCGAAAAGTTTTAAAACGACAGTTTTCACCCATCATCAAAATTTGCTGTTTAACTTTAATAAAAAAAAGGATAGGATAGTAAATCTAAAAACAGTTAAAAGGGTAATTATGTTATTTTACCCATATCTATAAAACTTAGAAAAAAAAAAAAAAACTAATCGCCGCTCCTCATCCTCCTCGCATCTTCTCTTCATCTACCTTCTCTCCGGTCTTCATTTTCTTCATCATCGATTTGGCTGGATTCGGTCAAATCACATCGGCCATATGTGATTCGATCGGATCTCTTATCCACGTTCTCCTTTTTCAAACCAAGTAAAATTTCCATCTCACAGATCCGGGTAAAATAACAAAACTTTGAAAAATCACAAATCCACCAAAATCCTACCAACCATCTATTTATATAAAATCCTTTCTCACCTACACCCCCATCTAATCTCAATCGTTTTTTTTAAAAAAAAAAGAATAAAAAAGATGTTTTTGGTTGATTTGTGAGTTCTTTTCTTTTAACTTTTTAATTCCTAATTTCTTCTCTTCTGATATTTATCCTTTCTTCCCTTTTCTCAGTAAATTTTTTTCATAAGGTTTGGTCCTGTGTTTTTGATGTGATGATGGACGAAAAGAAAACAACATGGAGAGAGTTTTAGAGAGAAGCTGAATCGTATCTGGTCGGTGCGATTCCGGCCAACTTGATTTCGGTTGCACTACTTGGGACAGGAAGCGAAGGGAATGAGCTCAACTACTTATCCCACACTGATTTTCTCCTTGCCTGTTCCCTATGTGCTTCGTGTTGCCGGAATCGCACCAAGAATTTGAAATTTTTTCATTTTCTGCTTTTAATTCTTTGAGTATTTTGTGTTATGTGATTAAATTGTTTAATTGATTATTGATTTGGGTTGGAAGTGTTTGAAATTTGTGATGGTTTGTGGCCGTGGTGGTAACTGTATTTGGTGCTTCTAGTGGTGGGTTTGGAGCTGGTGGAGGTGGAGAAGTCGGGATCGCACCTGTTGGGATGACTTGAAACCTGGATTTGGGTTTGGATTCAAAGGAAAAATGTATTTTCGTCTTTACAGTGACTATCTATGTCAGTAAACAGATTTGACTAACAGATTTGACAGTAGGTTGGAAACTGTCATTTTGAAACTTTTCGGGTAAACCGTCGTTAGGCAAACTTTGGGTGGTAAGTTGTTGTTCACCCTATAAACAAATCTACCCGTGGGACCCCAATTTAGTCACTTTTTTAAACAAGTTATAACACAATTTATGGGCATTGAATCAAGGAACTACTTCGAATGGTTGAGATTTAATCAAAATTGATTGAAAACAAAAATGTGAAGAAGATAAACGTTATCTAAATAAGTAACATCAATTTATGCTTTCGGGTCATCGGCTGCAACCTTTTTGTCTTTGAGCAAACGACATGTTCCTACCATTAGTGAAATAGCAAGTGTCCATCCTGATTTCATATATTCCATATTTCCACCCTTAAATTAACTCTAATTAACTCTGTTATGAATTTTGATTTGTAAAGCAACTACAGAGAGTACTATTACCATATTGCCTTTAACTTTTAATTTCACCATCCAGGATCCAGCCACCAACACCACCTTTCAACACCATCACCACCGAAACCCCAAAGTTACCACCACCATCGTCGCAATCCTCTAAACCACAAAGTCAACCCCGCGCCACCAAACAACCACCACCAAATCACTCAGAAATTCAGCCACAAACCACCAAAAAGTCAGCCACAAACCCATCCAAAAACAACCACAAGTCAAAATTCACTCTCTCTATAAAACCCATCCAGATCGGGGCCAAAGAAGGCTGCTGATGTTGAGATGCCGCTGCTCCGAAGAAGGCCATTGGAAAGTTATCGGCGGGACGGTGCTGTCTTGGGTGAACTCCGGGTTGGGGTAATCGCCACAAGGAAATCAAAATATGGAATTTTTGTGTTTTAGATTTCGGTTTTGGCATGAATAATTTTTAGGATTTGCTTATCAAATGTGATGAAGGATGCATGTGTTGAAGGATGATAAAGTTACATGATGATAGATGAGGAGATGAAGACAGGAGGAGGAGGGGGAGATGAAGAAGAAGAAGAATGGGGTGGGAGGGTTATGGCGGTGGTGACTGGTTTTGGAATGGGTGGGTTCAATTACTATTTTACCCCTTGACTGTTACTTTAGCAATATTCTGTTAATTTAAGGGTGGAAATTGAAATAAATGAAAGCAAAGGTGGACAATTTGAGTTCGCTAATCTTTGGGTGGGAACATGTGGTTTACTCTTTATCTTTTTAGACCCTTTTTATATTATTTTTTTATAATTCCAATTTTATCTCTCCCAAAAAATTACTAAATAATAACTACATCAAAGAAAAATAATTATTTCCAAAATTCAACTTTTATTCTACATTAAAAAACTTTATTTTAAATTTATTTTTTTAAAGCATCTTTTATCAATCTGGTTCAATTTCCTTTTTTTTTTTTAATTGAAAAAATAAATGTGGCATGGTTTTTTGTAAGCAAGGTTAACAAATTTAACTCATACACGCTGTTGTGCATACTTTTCCACGACCAGATTTGTGTCCTACGTGTCGTTCTTACAACAGATGACTTTACCAATAAGCTCCCCAATGTTAAGCATGAATGTTCAGACTTAAGCATGGGCGCGGTTGACTCAGATCTGAATTACGGAGAATTATATATGTAATCTACGTCGTAACAACAATTCCCAACTATTGTCAGACGGTGTATATAAAAGAGAGACACCACCTCCATTTTGAAGGATCAATTATTTACGTAAGTATAGAAAATCACTTAAAGAGAGTTTTAGCTCGCCATTACGTGTTATCTTCCTATAATCACCTCATGTATAAAACAAATACTAAGTAATAATATAATCATGAATGTAGGCTTGGTTTAAACTCGTCAAACTACTTTAAAAATCTTTTCTGTTCTTACATTATGGATTACCCAATCAATTCCTAGCTGATTAATCCTAATCACACAAACACATCCTATCCAATAGTATTTGTCAATGAATAACTAAAATCATTTTGTGCATTTTAGTATATTAATTTTTGTTCACAAATACTGTTGGAGGATAATAAAAGACCCAATAAATCAATGGGTCATTAGTCACAAGTCCAGCACACAAAAGCCCAAATATAGAAGCCCAAATGAAAACCTAAAAAACCCATAAGAGGGGAAGATATTTAACTAGAGCTAAATTATAGAAAAAAAAAAATCATTTTGTAATAATTTGTTAATGAGTTGTATCATATAAGTTGTATTTAATTTAAATCCAAAACAAAATTTTATAAAACATAATATAATTTATTGTTATATAAATCCACAAAAAATAAAGATTAAAAAAGTAAGAGATGAACACTTAATAAAATTTTAATAAAAAATGATTGTTTTTGAAATACATGGGTTNCTTAGATGGCTACAAAAGGTTAAGCAAAAAATAATAATAATAAGAATGATGATAATTCAATGGAAGCTAGCCCCTCGCAACACGCCGTTAAGCTTGTTTTGTACAAAATTGAATGGACTACTTACCCTAAAACTACTCTCTAGAACCCACTGTTTCTCAAAAAATTTAACTCAATGGCGAAACATTTCGGTTCTCTCTACAGGAAAATGACACTGCAGATTAGTACCCTTATTACTGTTAAGATACTTCTTAAAGCCCCATTGCTGTAAATCCTGTAGGAAGAAGAAGCTGATGTCGAATTCATAGATGGGGCTGTGATGTTTACAGAGGAACCATTCCTACCAAGGCTGCATTAAAAAAAAAAAAAAATTCTATCAAAGATTAGAAACCATGACAAAATGGCATGCAGTGATCACATTTTGACGATTGACAAGGTCTAGGAGTAAATTTGTTTACCTTCCTGGGAACATACAGGAACCATGACCTGCATCAGTGAAACAAAACTGAGTGTTATTATTACTGTAGAAATTGAACGATCACGTTACATGATCCAACTTAACTACTATGATAATTCATGTATGAAATACGAATGTTATCTTACTTGGATCTGTTGTGGTGATTGCAGCCACCCCATTGAAATCGCAGGCCTCGGGAGACTTTCCCATCTGGTGATAGTAAGTGTCAAAAGCATAAGTTGAATGTGCAATCACGTTGTCTGGTTCATAGCATGGTTTTCCCTGCTGCAAAGGTGAGCAATCAACCTTTCCCACCCCACATGCCCAGTCTAATGTAGCCTGCAGCATCTTAGGATCAGCACCATCCTTGGCGGTGCAATATGTTTGGTTTGTAGTATCATTTGCTAACACCGCTCCTGCACCAGTCAAGTGTAATATATAAACAGGATCTCCATTTGCATCAAACAGTCCCCAATTCTTCTCAGAGAGTGGTCCAGGTTTTGTATCCTCATTATAGAGCTCGTAGATATAAGTACTGACTGCAACTCCAGGATGTGTCGGAGTTCCGGTTTTGTTCAGCACATGCCTTATTAAATTGCTGTTGCAAGTATTGGCATTTTCTAAAGTTGCATCTGGCTCATTAGAATCACCTTTCGATGGCCAGCCAGATTCAGTCACTATGATAGGAATATTAGTGAAATTCAAAGAAGCCATTGCAAAGTATGTTGCATCCACGGTAGCATCAAAGACATTGGAATAATGCACAAGTGTGTTAGAGTCAACAGCTTCTTTGTTTGGAGGGAGAGGCTTAAAAAGTGCATAATCTAATGGTATCACATCATTAGATAGAATATAATCATAGTATGGGTATATGTTGAGCATGAAATATGAACCTGTGGACTGCAGTAAATTGAGCATGGGTACCAAAACTGGGTTCCATGAATGGTTGAAGAAGGCTTGGGAAGGTGGGAAAGGATCAAGAAGTAAGGAGGCAGGAAGGGGTTTTGAAACTTTTATTTGGCGGTCTAAATCGGATGCAACAAGGGCTGACTGAATGAACCTCATGGCATTTACAAGGACTGGTGCTGCATTTGGGAAAGCGGTTAGAACCTCTGAACCTACACATATGCCTGTGATGTTCGTAGCTGGATAATGTGCTACAATATTCTTGGACACCCAATTGGCTGCAGTAGAATTTGATTGACCAATTCCAAGGAGTTGTTCATTTGGGACAGATACAACAACCTGAATTCCTGTGTTTGCTAGAGCAACTAGCATCCCACGGTCATCGTTGTATAGCCGGACATGTCGGATTTGCTGGGCTTTTAGTATGGCTACTACTTGAGTAGGATGTGGCATGTCTGAGAGGTCTGTTCCAATATTTACACCAATAAAGGGATCTGCAATAAAGAAATAACTTCCACATTATGCATTTATCATATGTGTATACGAATTAATTCTATGCAAAGGGCAATAGGAGGATTATTTATAAGAAATACATAAGTGCATGCATGAAAGCATAAACAGATGGATAAAGAAGTCCAATCTCTTCTAGAAGATACTATAGCCAAATATGCCTTTGTACATTTCTACTATCATGCTTTAGAGCAACAACGCTTAGTCTTACTCTATAGAGAACTATAGGAAATCAACAAAGCTTAGTCTTGCTTGGCATATGCATATACAACAGAACTACGTCCACACTACTTAGCAATATACAAAATGCCTATACTAATTATGCCTCATTTTTTAAGCATTTCAATTTCAGAACAATCTCTTATATGATAGAAGTTTTACCAGAATGTTAAACCAAATCCTTTATTTAAATTTACTTAACAACACCGCTGCAATTTCCATGAAAATCTACTTTAAGCGCATGTCCATTTTTCATAAATTAAGGTTCATAAGCTCCCTCAATCTGGATAGAACATGTTACAACACAGCTGCAGTTGCAATCTCCTAATGAAATAAAAGTGGGAAATGTTGACAAGAAATTTCCATATATTGACTTGCACTTATTCTAGGAATTCTGCAGAGACACCACGTTTAAAGAAAAACAACTTGCTCTGAACCAATTGATTCTGCATAAAAAAACGGCAGGGATGGACAAGCGCAAAAAGAATACGGTAGTAAATGCAGAGTGGTGTACGATAATTAAAATATAATAAAATAATGGAGCATGGTGTGTCCTGATATCGGCCATGGCTTCACCAAGTTCTAATTCCCAAGCAAAGGTGCATTAATCCGCCAGCCTATTGACCGATCTGCACTACCAAGACAAAGGGCACTGTTAAATCATAGAAAAATGGGGCAAAATAAAAAGAAATATGAGCCGGAAAACATTAAGGATGCATTTGGTTCACTATTATGATACTTTTCGGAATAATATATTGAAAAAGGTAAAATTGAGTGGTGTAGAATTTGAAAATTAACAAAAACACACCCTAGGTTTGTTAATTTCTAAACACCCTTATAATAAAACATTAAAAATTAATAAAAACATCCCCACTCACCCATTAAATACCGACAGCCGGCCACCACAGCCGGAGGGTGGCCTGAGTCGCCGTATCGGCGCACGACCAGCTAGATCTGGCCGGTTGTATGCCAATATGCCGAAAAAGGCCAGATCTAGTAGTGTTTGGTCGTCAACAACGGCCAAAGATATGACCATGGTTTATGGTCAACAACGGCCATATCTTGGCTGTCATTGACGACTAGCTACGACCAGATATTTGGCCATAGATCTGGCCTTTTCCGGCCAAATCCACGCTGGATCTGGCCGAAAAAAGCTAGATCAGTGCATTATGGGCTAGATCTAGCCATTAGTGTGCCATTATACTAGATTCTGACCATCTTCTGACGGTGGTGGTCGGAATTTGGCAAATGTGGGTTGGTGGGAGTGCTTTTGTCAATTTCTAAACTTTTTTTTAAGTGTTTAGTTAAATTAACAAACCTAAGACTAAATCTTCTAAAACTCCCTGAAAAGAATCTCAAAAGAACATAACAATGAGAAGAGAAACAGAAAGATTGTGAGTGTGAAAGTGGTTGCTACTTGAACCAAGAAAAGGATAATAACTCAGAGAGAGGGAGAGAGAGAGAGAGAGATTTTGCAAGCTAGCAATGTCTATAACTGTGAAAATGGAACACATAAAACAAGAACAAGAAAAGGAAAGTGGGGTAAGAAAGAGTACAATCTCCACAAATCACGTTAAAACACTGTCAGAAAATGAACAGCTAAGATACCATTTGCAAGTTTTTACAGTGACGAAGCACTGTAGAAGGACATTTGGTTTTGTAAACTTTTGTTGATGAGTAATTAGCCGTTAGGGCTGAAAAGAAAAAACTGAAAATTGAACCGAATCGGAAAACTGGACCGAAATTGAATCGAAAAATTGGTTTTTCTGATTGATCGGCTCGATTTCGATTTTCAAAAATAACCAAATTGAATTGTTGATTCGGTTAACGGTTTAAGAACAATATTAAACCGGTTTTAAAAATCCGTTTTGAAAAAAAAAAATGTATATCGTTGCTTTTTTTTCCCCACTTTTTCTTGGGCATTGGGTATGCAGACTGCAGTCTGCTTCTCCTGCACATTTTGTTAGGTCTACTTCTGCACTCAATTATTTTTCTTTTCGTCTTCTTCTCCTTTCACTACTTTCTCTTTCTTTTCAGACTTTTTCAGTTTCTCTTCTTCTCTTCCTTTCCTCCACCAATTTCATTTTCCTTTTTTGTCTTCTTCTCTTCCTCTCCTTCTCCACTTTTCCTTTTCTTTTTAGTCTTCTTCTCCTTTCACTTTTCTTTTTCTTTTTCTTTTTCTTTTTCGTCTTCTCCTTCAATACTTTTCTATTTGGATTTGGATAAGAGGCGAGAAGGGAACGCCATGATCGGACTTTAGAGTTCTTCTTCTTCGATGGTTTGGTATATTTTTAGCTTTAGGGTTTGTTTGGAAGCTTTGCGTTTGCGTTTTTGTTTCTCAGATGTCTCAATCTGAGACTGGGATTGATTATGTGCGTCTCAGGTGTTGGTTTGTTTGTTATGTAAGCATTGGATTGTGATTTGGGGTATTTGAAATGAACCGTTGTGAGGCGCCCATTGGTGTCCTTGCTATTCTAAAGAGTCCAACTTCAAATTTTATTAAAATTGGTTTATAAACTGGTTAACTGATAACCGAAGCGATAATTCAGTTCGGTTAGTAAGTAGTTCAAAGAATAATTCAGTTCAGTTTCGGTTCACATTATCCTTTGAACCGAAAAACCGGTTTGGTTTGAAAAGTGTGTAACCAGTTCGGTTAACCGGATTTTCACACCCCTATTAGCCGTTACATAGAGAGAGCTTTTTTCAGTTATGTGATGAAGGGGTTGGCTGCCCAATAAATTTTGCTACCAAAAACAAACAAGGTTGTTCATCAAAAGAAACAAGGGTGCTCCTCCCAACGATCATTTTTATTGTACCTTTTTCAATTACTTAATAGTTTCTTTAGATTCTTTGTCCCTTACCTCACTCATTCTCTTAATAATATCCCAATTATTTTCATAAATCTTTTTGCTCTTTATACCTTTGCCTGATTTGGTTCTAATTAAAAAAAAATGTATATTATACCCTTTGATTAAGATGGAGTAAGAATTATGATTCCCTGTTGATGCAGAAGTCTGCACCAACCAGAGAATTCCGCTCGACCTTGTCGAGATCAGAATGGATGTGCACGTGATTACGGATAATCAGCGATAGACAAATATTGAATGCAATAAAGTAAATGATAATGAGAATTTTTAAAATGGTTCGGCTAGGTAAACTCTTGAGCCTACGTCCACTATGTTTTGTATTTGCTATGAGAGCTTACAATGCAAATTCTATGGGAATGTCATCACCCCTTTTTCATCATTTGAGGGGGTTTATATACAAGGTTTGTACAAAGGAAAGAGCAAAAATAAAGGGATTACAATTGATCTGAACTGCAATTCCAATATTCTCGTGATTAGGCGCTATGATTGCATAGAGATTGCTGTTGATCTAGTCATTCCCGTAATATCTAGGATTTGAAGTTATCTAAAATTGATTGAATGATCATTCGGGTTGTTCGCGACTAGCTTGTGATAGGTAAAGCTATATGTTGATGAACTTATGTTGGGTCGGACAACCGATGGAGTCAGAATGATATTGGGTCAAGCTACATCCTCGTGGTAGCCTGAGCTTGGTGGAAAAATCACACACTACATCTGCCCCTTAGTGTTTGATGCTCATTTTGAGCTTCGAAGACTATTGCTCGATTTGATACCAAGCTCAACATCAACAACAAGTCTCCAGATGCAAGTTCGACCGAGCTTTTAGGGTCGACCTCATGTTCAGTCGATGTGCTTCACACTTGTTTACTTCCCGCGATACCTGCCAAACTCAGAATATGAAAACTTAGGGAAAATACGTAATTTCCAAGCGGTCATGTTGCATTAAATGCGACAGCCTTTGTCAATCATGTTTTGTCGCGCGTGGGCAAGACAATTGTCCACACGCGAAGTCAAGGCGACGTACGGTGACGGTTGTCATTGTAACAGTCCGACGGTTCATTGCCCCTCACATATGGATGACGCGTGGCCACGTCTAAGGGCCAAGATTTCTCGATGAATGAAAGGTTGAGATTCATTGTAGATCAATGGCTACGATTGAACCCCGCCCTTTCGTCTTCCATGCAAACCGCTATAAAAGGTAGCGAAGTCATCAAAATGCTCATTCAGTCCACGAAAGTTCTCTGATGTCTTTGTCCACTTTGCTATTGTTTCGTCATCATCATGGTGCTCTTTCCAACGAGTTATTGCACTTCTTTCATTCTGGTAAGGTTCTTTCCCATTTTTTTATTCGTTTTTCCAATTTTCGCGTTAAAGGGTGGCTATTGTCGTGGCCACATTGGATGTTCTAGGGCTTTAGTAGGGTTTTTGAATATGTCTTTGCCAGTCCTGGGTTTAAGGAGGGTTTAACGCGGTGGCTATTGGAACCTGAGGTAGGTCATATATGTTGCGCGAGCTATCTTGAGTGCTTGAACTGAAAGCAAGTGTGAAATGGTCACCGAACTTTTTGAGCTTTGACACATGTTCGCTTCTGTTTCAGATACCTAGAAGCGAGCTATAACCATGTCTTCTTCCAGTAATCACACAATCGATTCGCTCACAGGCTCGGCAGTCCTTGGGGATTCAACTCCCAAGGTTTCTGAGGAAATCGTCACGTAAACTCGGATCTCAACGTGGCGGGCTCTTCTGACCGTGCCTCGATATAGTTGGCTTAACCCGCATGGTCTCTAGTCCATAGTCTGTGAAGAGAGCCACAATCCTTGATTATTGTTAGGGATCTGGAACACATAAGAGCGATTTATGTGCTGTGGCTTAATTTGATGGCCCGGGAGACATTTCTCAAAAGAATCCCCCGCCTGGATGGGTGGCGATCTCGGAGACCTTCTAAGATACAGGGTATCCATTCCTTTTCACCGTTTTATTGACAACATGCTGAAGCGGTTCGACATCATTCTTCTCCAGCTTTCCACAAATTCGTATGTAATTTTTATTGCTCTGTACATAGCGTACATGATCGTTGAATTAGGCGAGCCATTCGTCGAGGAGCTCATCCATCTGTATAGGCTCAAAAAAAGGGCAAGATCAGATGTATTACCTTTCCAAGACAAGGAAGGTATGCTTTAATGGGCTGGTCGATGTCCCGAAGAAGGTCCCATACTGGGATTCACAATTTGTCTTCTACGAAGCCTAGGAGACCGACACCTTTGCTTCGAAAGCGAGTAAGACTACGACTTACCGAACGTGTGAGGATCGCCTTTGAACTTTGTGTTTTAGCTAACTGAGTTGCTTT